GCTCCAGTTTGGGAGTTTGGGAAGGTCCTGTTTGCTCCAGTTTGGGAAGGTCCTGTTTGCTCCAGTTTGGGGAGTTTGGGAAGGACCCATTTGCTCCAGTTTGGGAAGGTCCTGTTTGGGAGTTATGGAAGGACCCATTTGCTCCAGTTTGGGAGTTTGGGAAGCACTGTTTACTCCAGTTTTGAAGGACCTGTTTGCTCCAGTTTGGGGCTTTCAGGAGAATCTCCTGGCTGTGAGTCCAGCGTCCCTGTTCAGCGTGTCCTCTCCTTTTCTCCCCCTGGAAGAACTGAGTCACTAAACTCCGGGATGCTGTCGTGGTGCTGCTGTCCCAGGGAGATCCATGGGAGATGCAGATTCCCCCTCACCATCCAGGGCCCCAGGAGCAAATCCCAGGCTGTGCCGCCCCTGGAATGTCCGTAACCAGGGATTTCTCCTCAGTGTTTTGCAGTACATCAACGAGAGGAAGCAGCACAGTGACCACTGGGTCGGGGCTCTGGTGTCCACCTCTGTCCCACGTGAGTAGGAATCCCTGGAATCCCCTTCCTTTCCTGCTTGGGATCGGTGGGAACTGTCCCCTTCCGCTCCTCGCCGGAGCTTCCCGTCATCCCGGGGATGATGATGGAGCTCCAATCCAGGGGGAACATCCCAAACTTCCAGCTCAAGGCTCAGCAACACCTTGGCAAGGGAGGTTTATCCCGCTGAGCAGAGCGACATTCCCTGAGAGGCTCATTCCAGGGGCTGCTCCAGGGAAGTTCCAACCAGGACACCGGAGGCCGTTGGAGCCCCTGGATTGCTCAGGGCTCCACTGGAAGCTTCCCAAGCTCCACATGAGAGGGGAATTTGGCCCCTGGCTAAATTTAGGGATGTCCTTGGGCGTAAATTCCTTGTTCTTCTCTCTCCCAGTGCATCTCATCTACGGCCCCCTGGACCCTGTGAATCCACACCCGGAGTTTCTCCAGCTTTACAGGTAAGATCCCACCCCGGGGCCTCGTTCCAAGGGATATTTTGGCTGCCTTTCCCTCCAATCCCGTTCTCACAGAGGCTGTTCTTAATTCCCACCTGGAACCAAGCGACCCCAAGTCCGAGCCTTGCGCAGTTTGGGAACTGTTTCCCTATTTTAGGCACCAAAAAAAATATAAAAATCACAATTTTCAGTCAAACCAGCGACAGGTTTTTAAAACCACAGAGGGAAGATTTAATCCCCGAGGGAATTTTCTCCTCCAAACCAAGCTGGAGGAAATCCAGCACTCGGAAGAGTGGCCAACTGTGGCTTTTTTTTGATCCCAAATCCACGTTCTGGGTGGAATCCCAGCCCTGCCCTCCTCACCTGCTGCTGGTCCTGTGCTTAAGCTTAACTAACCTTGCTCCACTCTTCCCACAGGAAGCTGCTTCCCATGTCCACAGTGTCTGTGCTGGACGACCACATCAGCCACTATCCCCAGCTGGAGGATCCCACGGGATTCCTGAACTCGTACCTCAACTTCATCAACTCCTTCTGAGCTGCTGCCGCTCCAGTTCTTCGCTCCCTGCTTCCCAGTCAGGCTTTGGGGGGCAGGAAAAAACCTTGGCTTTACCTCCCAGAGCCAGTACTTTGAACTCAGGGCTGCACTTGGGCAGTTAAATCCTTTTAAAACACCAGGAAAACGTCAGGGAGGTGTGGGAAAAGCAAAGAGTTCTGGGATGCCAACAGCTTTCCCACCCTCTGGACCAGCCTAACCTTGGATTTAGAGGTGAACTCAGCATTAAATCAGTGTTTCTTCCTTTCTTCCTCACCCTGGCTTGGTAAAGAAACACCAGTTCAGCAGCAGAGAGGTCCCTTCCCTTCCCTTCCCTTCCCTTCCCTTCCCTTCCCTTCCCTTCCCTTCCCTTCCCTTCCCTTTCCTTCCCTTCCCTTCCCTTCCCTTCCCTTCCCTTCCCTTCCCTTCCCTTCCTTTCCCTTCCCTCCCCTTCCCAGTTTTTGCTGTGGGATGTTTCCCATTCCAGCCCAGTACAGGCTGCACCGGTGTTGGGAATTACCTGACATGAATCTGCCTCAGGAGATAAAGTTTTATCTCTTTTGCACAAGAATTTTCCCACCAGGAAGAACCACAAAGACACCACCTGCAGGTTTTCCTGTGGTTTTTTTTTCCCAGCCTATGTTGGGAATTTAATTTGGGAATAAGGGGCTTTTTTTGTTGAACAAAACGGGCTGGGTTTGGTTTTTTTTTCTTTTCCTGCGCTGAAAACCAGGCAGAACCAGAACAAGAAATTTCTATTTTATTAACAGCGATTCGTAGGAACCCCCGCCGCTCGAACCAGTGGTTATTTTCTGGTAATAAAAACCGATTTTGGACAAAAAAAACAAACAAAACCAACAAAAACCCAAAGCCTGACTCCCGTTTCCTCACCCACCTGCACACGCCCCCTTTTCCCTTCCCATAAATTAAGTGGGAATGTGTGGGTGACACAAAGGGACGTGGGAACGGCCAAGCCACCGAGAATGGGACCTCATAGAAAATATTTTCCCGGATTTTGAGGAATAAAAACCACATGCAGAAGGACAAGACAGGCCTCTCCAAGGGGGCAGGTCCCGGCTGGGCCTCAGCCCACGGCCGCCAGGATGACGTCGACGGCCGCCTCGTCCTTGCTCCTCACCGTCACCTGCATGGTCACCCCGTCCCCCAGCGCCAGCCTGGCCCTCACCAGCACGTCACAGCCGCCCCTGTACACACCTGGGGGGCAAAGAACAGGCAGGGTTGGGCTTAGGAGAGGCTCTGAGCCTCAGGCCTAACCCAGCAGCCGACAGTGAAGTGGACGAGTCTTCACCCCGACGGGTCGCTCTGACCCCGCGGAGCTCCAGGGTTGGGGGAGAGGGGATGGGAAGGTGGGAAGGCTCCTGGGGGGCTGGTGACAGTGGCCCAGGTGTGCCCACACAATCCAGGAGGCCACTGGCACCTGGATTGTGTTGGGAATAGTGTGGTCAGCAAGGCCAGGGAAGGGGTTGTGCCCCGGTGCTGGGACCTGGTCCCGCGGTTCAGGAAGGACACGGAGGGGCTGGAGCGTGTGCAGGGAAGGGGAGGGAGCTGGGAAGGGGCTGGAGAGCTCCTGAGGGAGCTGGGGGGGCTCATCCTGGAGCAAAGGAGGCTCAGGGGGGACCTTGTGGCTCTGCAAGTCCCTGACAGGAGGGGGGAGCCGGGGGGGGTTGGGCTCTGCTCCCAGGGAACAAGGGACAGGCCAAGGGGAAACAGCCTCAAGCTGGGCCAGGGGAGGGTCAGGTTGGACATGAGCAGGAATTTCTCCATGGAAAGGGTGGTCAGGCCTTGGAAGAGGGTGGAGTCCCCATCCCTGGAGGGATTTCAGATCCCTGTGGATGTGGCACTTGGGGACATGGGTCAGCAGTGGCCTTGGCACTGCTGGGGATTGTTTGACTCAATGATCTCAGAAGGCTTTTCCAACCCCAGAGATTCCCTGATTCCAGAAGAAGCTGTGAGTGCTGCAGGGCAGTCCAGGATGTGTCTGCAGTGACAGGACCTTGGGAAGGAGATGATCCTGGAACTGCCCTTCTGAGATAACCCCGGGCAGGGAATTTATTTGGGTGTCTGCTCTGGAAGTTCTCAATCCGGAGGATTCCACGGGCAGAATTCCTCCATTCCCAGAGACAGGGAGCTCAGCCTGAGCACATCCAAGACAGCAGGATCCAACTTACTGCTTCACCGCAGCCTTTCACAGGGAAAAAACCCTCTTTTCTACAGAGCAAAAGCTCCCAAAATAAGAGCAGAACCTCCCAGATAATTTCCCTTCCTTGAGCAGGAATCTGTGAGGCCGTGGAAACGTGGGATCTGGCAGCAGGGAACACTCACCAGCCAAGTAGAGCGTGTGGGAATTCTTGTTCTCCGGCACTTTATCCGACCTCTCACAGGGCTGCATTCCCAGGAACTTGACGATGTTGCTGACAGCTTCTGCATTCAGGGATGGGAGAAGGAAATTACCTCCAGGATAATTCCCAACATCCCTAAAAATACATCCCAGCGTGGCAGATTTACCACCAATAAACGAGGGACCGTCTCACCGTCGAGGGTTTTGATGGAACTGAGGGCAAAGGTCTCTTCCTTCTCAAAGTCATCTCCCACTTCTTCCCAGGCAGCTGCAAAGTTGGGCTTTAGAACCTTCTGGATGTGGTCGGACACGGTCACTTCCAAGTCTTCCAGCTGAGGGGAAAAAGGGAGGGAGATTTTCGGGTCAGTGGCAGGAAAGGAGCCTCGCCTTGGGAAGGGAAAGATCCAGAAGCGTTTTGCCAGGACAGCTCTGCCGTGCCTGGATTTAATTTTGGGAGAAGCACGTGACAGTGGCTTCTGAAATGGGGAAAACTGGGTTTATTCTGGTCATTTGTAAAGATGAAAAACACCCACACAGAAGGGACTAAAAGAGAACAGAAAATCAGGTCATTACTCGGTGGCTTAAAGCCCTTTATAGCCCTTACTGGGCATCCACCGGGAGAGATTTCCTCAGGATCCATGGAATCACACTGGACTGGGTTGGAAGGGAACTGAAGGATCATCCAGTTCCATCCAGGGACACCTTCCACTAGCCCAGGTTGCTCCAACCCGGCCTTGGACACTTCCAGGGATCCAGGGGCAGCCACAGCTTCTCTGGAACTTCCATTCCAGCCCCTTCCCACCCTCCCAGCAGCAATTCCTTCGCAATATCCCACCTATCCCTGCTCTCTGGCAGTGGGAAGCCATTCCCTGTGTCCTGTCCCTCCCTGCCTTGTCCCCAGTCCCTCTCCAGCTCTCCTGGAGCCCCTTTAGGCCCTGCAAGGGGCTCCCAGGTCTCCCTGGAACCTTCTCTTCTCCCAACACTTCCTGACACCTGACTTATATTTCCACGATAAACAGAAGTGCAAAAGCTTGGGGTGGAAAGATTGATTGTGAAAACAAACAATGGAAGCCATTCCTTCCCTTTTTCCCTGCCTGTCCCCACCAATCCTGTCTCCACAGGGCAGAAGCCAATTTTTGGGGAAGGATCTAAAACAACAAGTCGGGGGTATTTTGGCGTTCCAGGCAGGAACATCCTTCCCTCCCAGCGACTCCAAGGTCTGAAAGGAAACCATCCCAACACGTATTCCCAACGAATGGCAAGGGGAAAAAGGGAGCAAACCCTGGACTCACCACGTACTCATCCTCGTAGCCATCCTCCTCTGGCACCCCCGTGTTGGGGTCGCAGTCCCGCACCGTGAACTTCATGGTGCAGCTGAAGGTGCAGGACACTGGGAAGCAGAGAGAGAGAGAAATCCGGGATAATCAGTGCCAGAGCCCTCCCTTCCCAAAAAAAAACCCAGAGACTGGAAGGAGCATCCATCAGAAATACGCTGATTTTAAGGGGAAGGCTAAAGGGCCGTGGGATAACAAGAACCCTAAATCCCAGTGGGATCCAGGGAACAGCTGCCAGGAGGAATTCCACCAGGATTTTGGCCAAGTGGAGCACGATGCAGAGTTCAGGGAATTCGGATTAGTCCTAATCTTGCCTGCTATTAAAGCAACAACCACTGCACTGACGAGCTGAGTCGTGTTAAACCCACTGCAGACCCAGTGGTGAGGAACAAAAGAAGGAAAGGGAAGTCTCACGGCCAGGAAAATCCCATTCCTGCATTTCATAGTCGATTCCAATTCACTAAAGAGAGGAATAATTCCACTGGTCAATTAAATAGAGTCCTAAACTACTGATATTTTTATGATCTGCATTATTTTTTAGTGGCTGCATTTTCCTTTGACTGGTTCTAGTCTTTACCATCCCCAAACGTTCACGCTTTCAAACATGCTCCTCGCCTTGATTCCAGGGATTCAATTCAGGTTTCCACCACCTGCACCCTCTCAAATCTCCTTTAAATCCCAGTTTTAACCATCCAACTGCACTGAATGTTTGAAAACCACGTCAAATCCTTTGCAGACACAATTGTGTTCTACCCGAATCCCTGTGAGAATCCCGGGATGCCAAACCCCAACGCTTGGGTTTTGAGGGATCCCTTTCCTTTTTGAGGGATTTTTGTGGTGCACAGCTCCAAGGGGTACCTGCAGTGGGGTCGTCCTGGGGGATCCTGACCAGGGTGTAGCACATTCCAGGCTGGTTGTAGGCCAGGCTGGGAGCTGGGATGCAGCAGAGCACGTCGTAGGCGTCCGACGGCTCCACCTGCACCGTGACCCTCTCCAGGAGCTGGTCGTTGAGCGTGTTGGTGCAGTCGAACTGCGGCAGAGCACAGGACAAAACATTCCCAAAGGAGGGTTATTCCCTGAAAACGCTTCCCTGGAATGCAGCAGCCATCCCCCAGCTCCCATTCCCATGCCCAGGTGGCCAAGAAGGCCAATGGATCCTGCCTGGCTCAGGAACAGTGTGGCCAACAGGTCCAAGGAAGTGATTCTTG